CAGAACGAAGGCAACGCTCAACAAGATGAGCTAGTTGCAACAACAACAACATGTTGACACCAAATCCAACACACAATGGCCCTCAGCAGCCTCAAATGGATGCACATCCCCAAAATCTCCAGGACCTCCTTGATTCCATGCCTTCTCCGAACTCATCGCTGCTGCTGCTGCTGCCGCCGCTGCTGCTGCTTGCGCTGCTACTGTTTGAGGATTTGGGCGTGTTACAGCAGGAAGGAACATCCGCAACTTGCTTAGCCCACCACCAGGACCACGACCACTTCCACCACCATGATGACAACGACCACGACCACCAGCACCCTACTACCACAAGTAGCACTCTACCACTGCTACAGTAAGAAGCCCAATGAATCCAAGCAGCCACTTCAGTATGTTGCAGCAGCTCAGCCATGAAGTCGACACCCAAAAGGCTGGAGCCAAGCTGCATTGGCACACAAGTCACATAATTCTCAATATTTGGGTCCCTTTCGGAGGGACTATCGTCCCCTCAAATCTGGGATCTCGAAGGAAATAATGTGGTCCTCCAGGGGTGCCCCCGGAAAGGGGCCCATCGGGTCATAGTTGTGAGACAACGTGTATGAGGCAGACACGCACCACAGAAGCTCTCGAGCAGTTTAGGATTTGAGAATGCTGATTTTTGTTTAAGGCTTATGAATACTAATATTGAAATCAATATTAATATTGAGAATTTTCATAATAATATTATTAATATTAATAATTGGACTCCTACAGCAGCCTGGTAGGCACAGGATCTTCCTCTTCGGGACGCTTGCTACCTTCCACGCCCGCCACATGGACAGATACCTAGAAGTCACGGGAGCAAAGCAAAAAGTGTTGCAGACATCGGTGCGAATGCGCGTTTAGGGTGCTATTTCTCCACAGAATTGTGCACCAGCAAGGCGACTTAATAGCTTCGGAAGCTTCAGGCCTAGTCCGTCCTCATAGTGGGTTATTTAAGAATGGCACCGCCATCACCCTTACGAAGCCACGATCTGCGCCAGGAAGTGGGCCGTTGTCGTTTGCATGCCTATGCTTGAAACAGAAACACGCCCGCGGATGCGTAGAACTCGAGAGATTAAAATAAGAAAGTTCTAGCACATCCTGGGGAGTATAGATTATGATAATTTGTTTTGTGGTGTTTGGGGGCAACTGTTCTTCAAGCTTCTGATGCCAATGAATGCAGCATGTGGCCCTATAATAACGCTTATACTAGTTTGGGGTCTATATCGGGGTACCCTGATTTTGGGAAACTACCAAATACTCTTGTACACCACAATGATTAGGGAGGGTTGATGGTATGGGGAGGGGATTACTGTGGATACTGCCCGCATCCAGTAACATACCATAACGGAGGTAGTATTCGTTATACTTATTTCTCACCTTTTACTGGGTTGGGGCAGTATCCCGCCCGTAAACAATTGAGGGCAACATTTTCCTGACCAATAGCTGCCAAGCGTTTAAGCGTTTACGGGGAAAAGTTTTCCCTAATTGGTCAGCCAAAGCACATTTCACTGCGATATTCGCCGTACAGTCATCTCGCTTTGCAAGTACAGAGTCACAAGCGACGTTCCCTTGAACTTCTGTACAACAGCCTATGATACTAGAGTAGTATCCATTATCTTTTCCATTATCCCTATAGAACCCCGAAATTCCCACATCGTTTTCTTCACAAAGCGACACGGAGCGAGTATTGCCTACACCCTAAACCCTAATGTTCTCTCGCCAGCACGTTTGGGAAGGCCGAGCGCTCACAGGACGCGGTGCCGAAGGCAGGAAGAAGGGCCTCGATCCCAGCAGCTTTAGGATATACTGGGGTTCAGGGTTAAGGGATATTATCCGGATAATGGAAAATCAAAGGGAAAACGAACTGGAAACTGGCCTGTATGGTAATTCCCATGAATAGGAGGACCTGCAATACACAGCTACAAGTCCTCCTAAACCTTTCCCGATCATGATATAGAACCACATCTTAGCCTCCCTACAGGCGGTTATTTCTCAACCAGGGGTGCCACTTTTGCGACCCCAAGAAAAGATGAAAGTATTTGGGACTCTATATTGGGGTCCTCCTATTCATAGAAAACTATCATCTAAATCAGTTTGCATTTCATTTTCCACTTTTGTTGGGGTAACATCCCTTAACCCCAAGCCCTAAATAGTAGCTGCCATTCTTTTTCCATTCCCCCTATATAACCTCAATAGAATTCCTTAAGGGGTCGAGCCTCACGTGCTCCCACACCATGTTGACGTCCACGCCTATGCTGCGCCCAGAATGCCTGATTGCAAGACATGACCCTCAAGGTTAATACGGTTATATACGGTTATGTAGGGTGTATATGGAGGCTATACAGGGGTTATGTGAGGTTTTATAGGGTCTGTAGAGGGAAATTAGCCCTATGATGGAAACTCAAACGGAAAAGAAAGTGGCCAATGAAGAGGCAAACACTATTTGCAGCAGAGTTTCGGATCATCGTCTTCATGCTTTTCCCAGAAGATGTGCCACCACCAAAGGGGAACCCACGTGTGTGTGAGACGCGCCCAAGCTGCAGCTGCGTAGCTCCAGAATGAAATGGAAAGCACTCACCTAAGGGCTTCTGGGAAGGCTGCTAGTGGGGCTGAGACCCTAATGTAGAAGCCTAAGTAACTACCAGAAATTGAGATTCATATGGACAAGAATATGGAAAATCAGGCAGAACACTGGTTCATATAGGGCTGGCTGCTTTTCTTCTAGAGGGAATGAGACAAAGCCGGCAAATTAACGTGGGTCCTCGTGTCACCTCGCACGGATACAGCAAGCTGTAACGTTTCATTAAAACGCACAAGCCTCCCAAACCCTGAACACCGAAACTCTAAGCCCTAAACACTCAACAACGGTCTGCAGTCTGAGGCCCTCATGAGATGCACAGCTGCTTTACCCCAATAATGGAGAGTCAAATGGACAAGAGTTTGGAAAATAGCTTGGACACTGGGGTTCTATGAGGTTATATGAGAATGTAATGATCTCATGGGCTGTAAGGGTGGCAAGACCCCCTTCTGGCTTGACCTCCGCAATGCTTATCCTCGCGATGCAGCCTAATCAGCATTGTTGCGCCCACCCCCTAAACCCTAAACCCTAAACCGCGTGGCAATGTGCACAAAAATGTTGTGGCTAGAGTTCTACCACATGAGCCATTGTCTAAACTC